AATAAGATTTTTGTGGCTTGTATATGAACTGCATAACATGGTTCTAGGGGGAAATGCATCCTGATCTCAAACTCACCTAAAACTACAGAAACATGACATATATGTTTAGGGCATTATATGAGACCACACTTTTTTCTCATACATGGTAAATATATCTCCTTTTCTTTTTGAGATGGAGTCTCAAGTCTGTTGCCCAGGCTGGAGGGCAGTGGCATGATGTTGGTTCACTGCAACCTTCCCCTCCTGGGTTCAGCAATTCTCCTGCCTCAGCCTCCTGAGTAGCTGGGATTATAGGTACCCACCACCACGCCTGGTTGATTTTTGTATTTTTAGTAGAAACGGGGTTTCTCCATGTTAGACAGGCTAGTCTTGAACTCCTGATCTCAAGTGATCTGTCCACCTGGGTGTCCCAAAGTGCTGGGATTACATGCATAAGCCAACACTCCTAGCCCTGTTTTTCCTTATGCATTTTGTTTATATGTTTGTCCTACATATGGTAACTGTGAGTCTTTTTTCATTCAACCTGCCCACAAATGTGATTTTATAACACTGTCATATATTTCTAACTTATATAAATAATGGAAAGTAAAAGATGTCATTGAGTTAATAAAGTAAAAAATATTTCTGTGTGTAGCTACATTTTGTGCATTTTATACTGATTGTATGTCAGTTATCTATTATAGAAAGCAAATCATACTATTTATGCTAAATAGTATGCTAATTAGTATGACCATCAGAATGATCATCTTCATTTAGATAAACCATAGGTCAAAACACAGATGTTTTGTCTTAAGTGTTGCTCTGAGAAACCATGATTCCTACAAGAAACATTCTCTCTACCATCAGCAAAATAAGATGCTATGAAAGAGGTCAAAGTATTTGGCATCTAAATCAGAAGATTATTTTCTTTATCTCTGTCATATTTCTGTATGGTTAGACTGGGAAATATAAACAAAACAGGTCTCAGGGAAATTGAATTGTTTTGTGGCAAATGTATTGAATAAATATATATTTATTGAGCAGCTACTATATTCTAAGCAGTGTAGTAGGCCTGGAGATACAAAATAAACATAATTTGGTCTCTTCCTTAGAGGGGCTCACTCTTCACAAGACTTAAAAAAAAGAAATAGATCCAATGAACTCTTTTAAACTAATCACAAAAACATCAAGGAAAAGTAAAATAGATGTTTGTGAAAAGCCTCTTTGCAGAGTGAAATGGAATACTACATATTATGTAAGCACACCAATGGAAACATTATCATTGGTGTGGCTATTTAAATATCTAAATTGAGTGAACAAATGATGGCTATTTAAAGATCTAAATTGAGTGAACAAATGATGGCTCGCTATAGCCTCAACCTCTAGGGCTCAAGCAATTCTCCCCACTTTGGCCTCCCTAAATGCTGGGATTACAGGGTAAGCCACCCGTGCCCAGCCCAGATGATCTATTCTTTGACTATGGAAGATGTGAAGCTAACAAGAATCAAATAAACATCATTGATACCACTGGTTTTTTTTTTTTTAACTTAGATGCCAGTGTCTCTATTTTTCTCTCTTCTTCTTCCCTTCCTTGCTTCTTTGAACTTCTAATCTCCAGATATGAGCTCAAAATTGAAGGTATACACCAATGCAGATGTCCATGAACACATCAAAGAAACAGAAAATGTATTATCACTTTCTTAATGCTTAACTGGGCAAAAACAATGAAGCTATATTGCTCTGTAAAACAAAGTTACTTACCATTTTCATATCATATTCCTATTTCAACTTTAAAGAATATAAAGTAAATGTTTTCTTAGGGCAACTAAAAACTGCTCTAAAAAAAATCACTAGGGCTGGGCACTGTGGCTTGCACCTGTAATCTTAGCACTTTGGGAAGCTGAAACCCCATCTCTACTAAAAATACAAAAATTAGCTAGACATGGTGGAAGCCGCCTGTAGTCCTAGCTACTCAGGAGGCAGAGGCAAGAGAATCGCTTGAACCAGGAGGTGGAGGTTACGGTGAGCTGAGACAGAGCCACTGGGCTCCAGCCTGGGCTGACTCAAAATGACTCACATAGTGGGACTCAAAAAAAATAAAAATGAATAATCACTAAATGGTCTTTAATATTCCTTATATTTAGAACATTATCTTCAATATTCATCCTCCGTAGAATGATCCTAAAATTCCTTAGCTGTATACATTTCTCATTGAGAGAGAAAAAAGTAATTTAATTCAGTAATCATTTAACTAAAAAATGTTTTTAAAGACATGGGAAAGTTATAGTGCCATCTTGTGGTTAAAAGTTTGCTTACAGAAGCAAGTACTGGCATTTCCCATTCATTAACTAAACCCACAACACAGTATGTATTACACTTTTAAAAATTTCCTTACAAAAGGAGCAGGATCGAAGAGGAAAAAAATCCTGTTTAGAGCATATATTCAAGAAAAATATATTATTTATACATATACCCAATTTCTTATGTTAAAGGCCACTGAATTAAAACAAGAAATAGCATTTGAATCTCAGATACATAAATAAAAATTATGCGTTTAGCATTATAGCTCCTGCTCACAGATGTTTATAATTTATTATTATTATAATACATACCCTAGCCCTAAGAACTTTGAAAAACACAATTATGGAATTTAGGAGTTTCAGGTAATCTCTAAGATTATAACATTTAAACTAAGCTTATCAATGATTTCTATCTGATCCAGGACTCTAATACAAATTTTGCAGCAAGAACCATTATAAAGAAAATAAATATTATATAAATAAAAACAGTTTCTTCCATCCCTCTTTCTCACTTATATACATAAATCTATTTTTCCATACAGAGGTAAGAATAATTAAAAGAAAAATTAATTTCCAAAGTACAGTCTGTATTTTTCAAGTGTAGAATTCTCTATGATCTATGCAAGGCCAAGATGCTTGGCAATGGTGGAATCTAATCAGTAGTTAACATACTTCTAACTGTATCTGCAGAAAGCTTTTCTGTTTAAAAAGAAAAGAAAAAGCAAATCACTCAAATTATAGGAAGACAGCGCCATCTATAGGTCTGCACCAAGTACAGAACAGTGATCTTAGATTGAGATACGAATGTCCACTGTGATAAACTAGCCAATCAAATGTGCTGCCCTAGGGGGAAGCTCCAAAATAATGCTGCTCATTCTCAAGTCTCTGAAGAGATTTTGCAATTTACCCCAAAGTGCTTTAACCTACCTCTACAATCATTTCCCAAAATGATAGTGATAATAATAGCAATAGAAGCCTCAAGCACTCAGAACAAAAACCAATGTTTTTCACAAATGTATTATTATGATTTGGTATACTTGACGGTCGATAAATATTGGTAACTTTTCAAGAAACATGAGTACATTGGTAGGTTGTCTCTTTCTCTCTCTCTCTTTCTGCAAAATTCTTTTTGGCCATGATTCTATTTTAGGTGTCATCCAATTCTATTGAATTTCATTCACCTTTCTCCAAAAAAGAGGTTATTTGTTCTCCCTACAGTGGTATATTCTAGTTCTTACAGACATTAAATTACATGCGACGGAAGATTCCCTCCTTTTTCAGATAGGCCCTTCCCATCCACGCTGGGGTTGCTCTCACTCTACTGCATCACACCAGTATCTTACTGGTTGTATACAAATTCAGTTAACAACACATGAGGGTGGAGGCTTAGCCCACTTCCTGATCAGTTGCCTGTAGCATGTGGCAGAAAAAAAAGATGCCCCCATTAATGTTGCCAGAGGCCCCTGCTGGTTAATACGGAGAGTTTCATACTTAAACTATGGCTGGCATTTAAAAATCTGCAAAAGCCAGATATAGACTGTTATACAAGGGAAGATCCTGTTTGTTCATTACTACTCAAGTTCAAGAAAAAGGTATGATATTTAACATAACCAGAGAGAAAAAGAAGACTTATGGAGGCACTACTTGAACGGGCTGCTTACCTGATTTCTCTTTCTGCACACTAAGAGGCAAGGTGGATTAATGGGTGACAGCTCAAGCTTGGAAAGCAAAGAGCAGAGTTTGAGTCTGTGTCTGTCATTGGCCTTGAACAAGTAATTTCTCTGAGCTTCACTTTCATCTTCAAGAAATTACAAACTGTTTCATGTCTGGAATCCCAGCACTTTGGGAGGCCAAGGCAGGTGGATCACTTGAGGTCAGGAGTTCAAGACCAGCCTGACTAACATGGTGAAACCCTGTCTCTACTAAAAATACAAAAATTAGCCAGGCAGGTTGGTGTGTGCCTATAATCCCAGCTACTCTGGAGGCTGAGGCAAGAGAAACACTTGAACCCAGGACAAGGGGATTGCAGTGAGCCGAGATCACTCCACTGCACTACAGCCTGGGCGACAGAGAGAGACTCCATCTCAAAAGGAAAAAAAAATTACAAATTAATAGAGATTATTTAAGCAAAGTAAGATGCTTTGCACATAGTAAGCATTCAATAAATGTTAGCACTCAAAAGATAATATTTATCTTACTTTTTAAAATCTTATCATATTTATTAACTATGGTAGTTAGGGAGGATCTACCCAACCCAAACAAATATCCCAGGAAGTTGATTTGTGACTTCTAAAGATGACAAAAAGAATAAATGAAAAGACTGAACTCAAAATAGAAATGGTACAACTATACAAAGAAGAGAAAATGATGTTTGTTTGAGGGTCTGATATTGGTTTCAAAATCCATCTCTGAAACATCTTTGAAAATCATTAGAGTTTACTTGACTCTCAATTTCATTTTATTTCAATTTTTTTAAGGTGGAGTCTCACTCTCTAACCCAGGCTGGAGTGCAGTGGCATGATCTCGGCTCACTCAACCTCCGCTTCCAAGATATAAGTGATTCTCCCACCTTAGCCTCCCAAGTAGCTAGGACTACAGGTGCCTGCCACCAGGCCCAGTTATTTTCTGCTGTATACCTTTAAAATGTGAGCCTGCAGAGTGCAGGAAGTCACCTGCAAATAGACAACAGTTCTGGAAGTCACCTGCAAATAGACAACAGTTCTGGAAGTCACCTGCAAATAGATAACACTGAAGCCAAAGAGTGGATGGTTTGTATGGGGAGTTAGAATGTGTAAAACACAAGAAAAATAAATAAATAAAGTGAATTAAAAATAGATTTTAAAAAGAATGTGTAAAGCAAATAACTTAGAACCACTTAAAATATCAATTTTTGAGGGAAGGGAAAGTATAGATAATAGAAGACTAATCAAATAGGGGAGAAAGGTTTAAGATGGTTGAGTAGGATTTTATGGCTCCACTTAGAAGAACTGGAATAGTGTATAGACAGTCACACTTCATATATGTTATCCAAGACAGAATGTTGATATTCAACACAGAAGAGACAGGAAAAACCAAGAGTGGGGACAGAAGAAGAGAGGCAACATCGCTGGCCAGACTTGGCTAGGAGCTGGTAGTGACTTACCAACATGAGGAAAGGGTGAGTGACAGACTTTGAGCAGCCCACATCCCTACCACCAGATCATGCAATCCTAGCCACAGGAGAGCCTCTTGACCATCCCAAGCCCTGAAAGTGACATAGGAAGTTGATGGGAGACCAAGGTACAGAGCCGCTCCAGGGAGGGGGCTCCCACACCATTTACAAGACCTAAGAAGCTACAGGAAGGTGCCATTTTCAAAGCTAGCCTCTTGTAAACTGCACATTGTCCTATAGGCCAGCAACAGCAAGACTAAGACATCACATCTTAATCATATCAGGACCAGTGTGGTGGTAAGGTACTTTGGCTTTAATTCTGAGTGCATGCAGTAGTGTAGTTTTTGTACGATTTCTTTGACTCTAAACTGCATTGGTGATATCTGTGTGGGTGGGGTACAGTCATTAGTGTAGCACTTGCTTCCTAGCACTGGCTGCTGCAGCTCATGTCTTGCTTGCTTCTTCGCCCTGGCTATGGGAATGGTCCCATCTCACTCCTCATCCTAGCAGTGATAGCTTGAGCTTTTGCAATGTCTCAGTCTTGGTGCTGCTGGCCTGTAGAACAGTGTGCAGTTTATCAGAGGTTAGCTTTGAAAATGGCACCTTCCTGTAGCTTCTTAGGTCTTGTGGTGCTGTTCTGTTGGAGACTAAGATGACAGTGGGTCAGTCTCCAGGCCCCAGTGATGACAGTGGTGGGTTACATATCCCCATCTTTGTGCCCCAGGGTGATGTATGGTGCCACCTGTACTTGTGGATACCAGAGGTCTGATTTTTGGGCCTCCAGATGGCTTGCTCAGATGCTGGTAGTGGCAGCAGTGGACTGGGTCATAAAGTATGTTCTGAGTCACCTGGCAGCCAGCGTAGCATAGGCGATGGCAGAAGCAGTAGTGCGATGATTCTGTGGGTCTTGAGTGGTGTGTGTTCATGTTGGCAGTAGATGTGATGTGCTGGGTGGGGAATTCTCCAGTCCTGCACATGGTGCTTGCAGGTAGGTCAGCTGAGGAGGTAGCAGTTGAGACCCTGTTCTGTTAAGGTGGGGGAAGTGCTGTGCTCAGGCCCTTCAGTGGTGAGAGCAGGCACCAGCTGTGGTGGGCAAGGTAATCAATAGGCCTCAGGCTAAGTGCTTGTGTGAGTGGCAGTAGCAGCCATGCCGAGGCTCCACCACCGGAGAGGGTGTGGATATCTTTGTGGCAACAGCCTGGGCCAGTGGGTAGGGAACGCATGTTCCTTTTATGCCCCAGACTGGGGTGTTCACTCCCCACACTGGCAGTGGTAGCTGATGCTTAGCTTGTTCTCAACACAGCTGTAGGAGCCCCCACCCAGCTCATATTCTGTTCACTCATATGCCAGTCCCCTGTCTTGGTGGCACTCGCTTCCTGGCACTGGCTGCTGCAGCTCATGTCTTGCTTGCCTCTCAGCCCTGGCTATGGGAATGTTCCCATCTCACTCCTCAGCCCAGCAGTGATAGCTTGAGCTTCTGTAACATCTCAGTGTTGGAGCTGCTGGCCTGTGGGACAGTGTGTAGTTTATGAGAGGCTAGCTTTGAAAATTGCACCTTCCTGAAAATGGCTTCTTAGGTCTTCTAAATGGTGTGGGAGCCCCCTCCCTGGAGGAGCTCTGTTCCTTGGTCTCCATCAACTTCCTATGTCAGTTTCAGGGCTTGGGATGGTCAAGGGGCTCTCCTGTGGCTAGGATTACATGATTATTTACAAGATTAAGTCTCATCAGAGACTATAAATAACGAAACATTGACAAACTGGAAAACCTAGAGGAAACTGATAAATTCCTTTAAACATACAACCCACAAAGATTGGATCAGGAAAAGATAGAAAACATGAAGAGACCAAAAACAAGTGGCAAGATTGAATCAATAATAAAAACTCTCCCAAAAACAACAACAACAAACAACAATGAAACAGGACCTAATGAATTCACAGACATATTCTGCAAAACATACAAAAAAACACTAATAACAATTCTCCTGAAACTATTCTGAAAAACAGAATAAGAGGCAATTCTCCCCATCATTCTATGAGGCCAGTATCACCCTGATACCAAAACCAGAAAAGAATAGAACAAAAAGAGAAAACTACAAGCCAGTGTTCCTAATGAAAACAGATACAAAAATCCTCAACAAAATACAAGGAAACTGAAACCAACAGCACATCAAAAAGATAATACACCATTATCAATTAGGCTTTATTTCAGGGATGCAATAATAGTTCAGCATATGCAAATCAATAAATGAGATACATCACATCAACAGAATGAAGGACAAAAACCATATGATCATCTCATTAGATGCAGAAAGAGCATTTTATAAAATTCAACATACTTTCTTGATAAAAAAAATTCTTAATAACTAGGCATAGAAGGGACATATCTCAAAACAATAAAGGTGATGTGTGATAAACTCATGGCTAATATCATACTGAATGGCAAAAAGTTAAAAGCCTTTAATCTCAGAACTAGAACACTGGTTCTGGATGACCACTTTTACAACTCCTAAGCAACATAGTACTAGAAGCCCTAGCCAAAGCAATCAGCCAAGAGAAAGAAATAAAAGGCATTCAGATTGGAAAACTGCAAGACAAACTGTCCCTATTTTTTCATGATATAATCTTTTATCTAGAAAAACTTAAAGACTTCACCAAAAAACTGTTAGACTGGATAAATGAATGTAGTAAAGTTTCAGGATATAAAACCAGCATACAAAAACCAGTAGCATTTTTATATACTAATAGTCATTTAGTCAAGAAAGAAATCAAGAAAGTAATCTCATTTACAATAGTTATAAAAAATATAAAATACCTAGAAGTAAATATAATTAAAAAGATAAAAGATCTCTGCAAGTAAACTACAAAACACTGTAAAAGAAATTAAAGATGACAAAAACAAATGGAAAAAAGTCCCATGCTCATGGATGAGAAGAATTAATATCAATAAAATGACAACATTGCCCAAAGCAATCTACAGATTCAATGCCATCCCTATCAAAAATTTGATTTCACAGAATAGAAAAAAAAATCTTAAAATTCATAGAGAATCAAAAAAGAGGCAAAATAGCCAAAGCAATCCTGAGCAAAAAGAACAAAGCTGAGGCATCACATTGCCTGACTTCAAAATATAGTACAAGGCTATAGTAACCAAAACAGCATGGTATTGGTATAAAAAGAGACATTTAGACAAATGGAACAGAATAGAGAAACTAGGAACAAATCCACATATTTACAGCTAACTGATCTTTGACAAAGCTGACAAGAAGCTCTGGGTGGTGACAGAATACCCTCTTCAAAGTATGGTACTAGGAAAATTGAATAACCACACGCAGATGAATGAAACAAACCCTTTTCTTCCACAATATAAAAAACAAAATCAACTCAAAATGGATTAAACACTTAAATTTAAGACCCAAAACTATAAAAATACTAGAAGAAAACCTAGGTAAAACTTTCCTGGAAATTGGTTTAGGCAAAGGATTTATGATTAATACCTCAAAAGCACAGGAAACAAAAACAAAAATAGACAAACAGGTCTTAAACTAAAAAGTTCCTACATAGCAAAAGAAATAATCAGCAGTGAAGAGACAACATATTGAATGAGAGAAAATATTTGCAAACTATTCATCCAAGAGGGGACTAATATCCAAAATACATAAGAAACTCAAACAACTCAAAAGGACAAAGATAAATAGTACCATTAAAGAGTAGGCAAAGTACACGAATAGACATTTCTTTTTCTTTTTTTTTTCTTTTCTTATTTAGTGGCTTTTATTTTTATTTTTATTTTTTCCCATTTATTTATTTTATTGCATTTTAGGTTTTGGGGTACATGTGAAGAACATGTAAAATTGTTGCATAGGAACACACGTGGCAGTGTGATTTGCTGCCTTCCTCCCCATCACCTACATCTGGCATTTCTCCCCTTGCTATCTCTCCCCAACTCCCCACCCCCCACCGTCCCTCCCCTATTTCCCCCCAACTGACCCCAGTGTGTAGTGCTCCCCTCCCTGTGTCCATGTGTTCTCATAGTTCAACACCCGCCTATGAGTGAGAACTTGCGTTGTTTGATCTTCTGCTCTTCTGTCAGTTTGCTGAGAATGATGGTTTCCAGGTTCATCCATGTCCCTACATAGGACCCAAACTCATCGTTTTTGATGGCTGCATAATATTCCATGGTGTATATGTGCCACATTTTATCCAGTCTATCATCGATGGGCATTTGGGTTGGTTCCAGGTCTTTGCTATTGTAAACAGTGCTGCAATGAACATTTGTGCGCATGTGTCCTTATAGTAGAACAATTTGTAATCCTTTGGATATATACCCAGTAATGGGATTGCTGGGTCAAATGGAATTTCTACTTCTAGGTCCTTGAGGAATTGCCACACTGTCTTCCACAATGGTTGAACTAATTTACACTCCCACCAACAGTGTAAAAGTGTTCCTATTTCTCCACATCCTCTCCAGCATCTGTTGTCTCCAGATTTTTTAATGATCGCCATTCTAACTGGCGTGAGATGGTATCTCAATGTAGTTTTGATTTGCATTTCTCTGATGACCAGTGATGATGAGCATTTTTTCATATGTTTGTTGGCCTCACGTATGTCTTCTTTTGTAAAGTGTCTGTTCATATCCTTTGCCCACTTTTGAATGGGCTTGTTAGTTTTTTTCTTGTAAATCTGTTTTAGTTCTTTGTAAATTCTGGATATCAGCCCTTTGTCAGATGGGTAAACTGCAAAAATTAGAAGTTCTAGCCAGAGCAATCAGGCAAGAAAAAGAAATAAAGGGCATTCAAATAGGAAAGGAGGAAGTCAAATTGTCTCTATTTGCAGACAACATGATTGTATATCTAGAAGACCCCATCGTCTCAGCCCCAAACCTCCTGAAACTGACATTTCTTAAAAGAAGATAGATAAACACATATATGAGAAAATGGTCAGCATCAGTAATCATCAGAGGAATGCAAATCAAAACCACAGTGAGATATCATCTCATCCCAGTCAGAATGGCTATTATTGAGAGGACAAAAATAACAAATGTTAGTGAGGGTAACAGAGAAAAAGGAAACTTACATTCTGTTGGTGGGGATGTAAACTAGTATAGTCACTATGGAAAACATACAGAGATTTCACAAAAAAACTAACCACTTGATTCAGCAATTCCACTACTGGGCATCTACCCAAAGGAAATGAAATCCACATATCAAAGTGATATCTGTACTTGCATGTTTATTGCAGCACTATTCACTATAGCAAACACATGGAATCAACCAAAGTGCCCATGAATAGATGATTGGATAAACAAAATGTGGTATTTACAGACAATGAAATACCATTTGGCCATTAAAAAACACTAAAATCATGTCATTTGCAGCAACATGGATGAAACTGGAGGTCATTATCTTAAGAGAAATAAGCCATACACAAAAAGACAAATATTACATGTTCTCACTTACATGTGGGAGCTAAAAAATTTGAACGCATGGAAGTAGAGTAGAAAAACAGACAACAGAGGCTGAGAAAGGTGAACAAGGCAGGAAAGGAAAAATAAAGAGGAGTAGGTTAAAGAGTACAAACATATAGTAAGATAGAAGAAATAAATTCAGGCGGGGCGCAGTGGCTCACACCTGTAACCCCAGCACTTTGGGAGGCTGAGGTGGGCAGATTACTTGAGGTCAGGAGTTTGAGACCAGCCTGGCCAACATGGTGAAATCCTGTCTCTACTAAAAATACAAAAAGTAGCTGAGCATAGTAGTATATGCCTGCGATCCCAGCTACTCAGGAGGCTGAGGCAGGGGAATCACCTGAACCCAGGAAGCAGAGGGTACAGTAAGTGGAGATCATGCCACTGCACTCCAGCCTTGGGGAAAGAGCGAGATGTCATCTCAAAAAAAAAAAAAAAAAAAAGGAAGGAAGGGGAGGAGAAAAAAAAAAAAAAAAAGGGGAAAAAGGGAAATGAAAACAAAAAAAAAAAAAAAAAAAAAAAGGAAGGAGGAGGAGGAGTAGGAAGAAGAAGAAGGAGAAGGAGGAGGAGGAAGAATTAAGAAGGAAGAAGAAGAAAAGAAAATAAAGAGGAAGAGAAGGACAAGGGGGAAAAGGAAGAGAAGCAAAAATAATGCCTGGTAGCAGAGTTGGATGACTATACTTAAAATGTATTATATTTAAGTATTAGACACCCTAAATGTCCTGATTTTATCACTATGACTTATATACATGTAAAAAATTTTCTCATGTATTCCATGCATTTGCACAAATGTAAAAAGAGTGACCAGGTAAAAAGAAGAGGGTAAAAATCAATCACAGAGACAACTTTAAAGAGAAAAAAAACTGATGAGTGATGTGAAATTCCACAAAGATTAGATAAAATTAGGAATGAAAAATGGCAGTTAGCAGTTTTGGCATAAAGGTAAACATGGATATGCCAATTATAGCAGGTTAAAGACTGAGTGAGGAACTTTTCAGAAAGGTTGACTACGAAAGGAGGAACACAGGACCATAGCTTGAGATCTGGGCTGTAAATTTGAGAAACACAATATGAGAAAAATACAATAGAATGCCTGTTGTGGGTTGGTTCCTGAAAAAGATATGCTGAAGTTTTAACTCCTGTGATTGTGACTTAATTCCTGTGAACGTGACTTAATTTGGAAATAGGATCTTTGAGGATGTAATCAAGTTAAAATATGATCATATTAGATTACAGTGAACGCTAATCCAATTACTGGTGTCCTTATAAGAAGAGGGACACAAAGATAAGGACAGACAGGCAGAGAATATCAAGTGATGAGGGAAGTAGAGATTGGAGTAATGTGTCCACAAACCAAGGAATACCAAGCACTGCTGGCAACTGCCAGAAGCGAGGAGAGACGCATGGGTCAGATTCTCCCTCACTGCCTCTAGAAGGAGCCAACCCTGCCGACACCTTAATTTCAGACATCCAGCCTCCAGAACAGAATAGGTGGAAGAAGAAATTTCTGTTGTTTAAGCTGTCCAGTTTTTGGTGCATTTTTCCGGTAACCCTAGCAAATTTATACAAGGCCTACAGATAGCAATGAAAAAATGCCAATCTGATAGAATATTTACAATGTGTATAAACCATGATAACAGCAAAGTGTCAAAAGAATTGACGCAAACATAACAAAGATCTTAATCATTTAGAAAATAACTATATGCCAATTTAGATACAATAGCAATGTGAGAATTAAAGCAAAATGAAAAGTAAATTGGTAAGAAAAATCAATCCAAATCTAGTACAACTGTAAAAATCCTTTACCTTTAACCTGGTTCCTTTCATTCATTGCCATTTTAAAGATACCACCAAGGAAGGGTGAGCTGGGAGGAGTGGGGAGGATGAAGAAAAGTTAGTTAAGGTGTATAAACATACAGGAAGATGGAATAAATTCAATGTTTGATAGCAGAGTAGAGTGACAATACTTTAAAATGTATAAATAACTTATACAGCACTGTTGCAAGTATTGTCTAATGACTAGAATCCCTGAATAATTTTCTCTCTTCAGAGTAGGAGCCTAAGAATATTCTATGGCTTAGGCTTTTCATATTTATTTGTTAATATGGTCAACAAACATTTCTGAACCCCTATTTGCTAGACTCTGAAACACCTGGTTCTCAATACCCTAAGATGTTGTAGTCAAGGGTAGGGGCAAAGGAGAGGTGAGGAAGGGTTGGTTTAACAACATGTTTTTAAAACATTGTGTAAAAGTTTAAGTTTTATGTCTGTTGAATCACAAAGCCACATATTAAGGGTATTTACACTTTTAAAACATCTTTCAGAAAGGTAGAGTTAAAATAAGAAATCCTTTGAAATGTGGTTATGCAATTCACATTTTATTTGTTCTTAAATTCTGATTTTTGAGAACTAGATTTTCTTAAAGCGAGACAAGACTACATTTTACTTAAAATACATCCCTTAAAGGTATTTTATAATTAATTTGAGCAATAGAGTTGCTTCCTCCTATGTGGTTGAAATAATGTTTTTTTTTCCCTCCCTAATTAGCCAATAATGGGTTCCAGCCACCCTTTGATGTGTCATAAAGGCTCACCTGTTTCAGTACAACCTGCTATTTATTACCAAACAATTACAGTTTCCCAAATCCTGAATTTCCAAAGGTGCCATTTATCCAAATCACATGTGCATCCCCTTTGCACCATTTTGAAAAAGAATTTTCCTTGATCAAAATTTTAACCTTGATTACCCCCTGGTGTATCAGCCCTTTTATCACCTAGTTCAAATTAAAATCCAAAGGACTCCTATTGTACACACTATTAAGACATTTACTTTAACTATATTTTAACTATTATATTAAAGTTAATATATATAAAATATATATATATTTATATACATATTAATATATGTTTATATTATATAAATATATATTATATATTTATATTATATATTATATATATAAATTTAATTTATATATATTATATATAAAATAAATATATAATATATATTATATATAATAAATATATAATATTTATTATATATAATAAATATATAATATTTACTATATATTATTATATTATATTAATATATTTAATATATTAATATAATATATTAATATATTTATTATATATATATTATATATATATAATAAAATATATTAAAGTAAGAAAACGGAGCAATCTTATGAAAATGAAGATATATAAGAAATTTGAAATCATCCTATATCTTTTTATTAGCCTTTTTAGGTTAAAATCCTCGGACTCACTCCCTATTAAAATAAGGCAGAATTTGCATATACTCTCAGATCATCTCCCAAAAGCCTATTCATGAATCCGAGCTTTTCCTCTCTCAAAAAAGTCTTTCATTTCACTCTTATTTGACTCTTTGAAGGTGATTAATGAGATAACACTACACAAAGTACTTGAATTGTGTTTAGTGCAAAATTGGTAAGCTTGTTTCCAGAACACTTTGAACTAAATCAATTAATTTAAATGAAAGCAATGAACTGCAAGATGCACAAAGTGAAAACACAGTAAATGATGGAGATGTGCTTATAAGATACCAGGGACTGGCTGGGTGTTGGTGGCTCACACCTGTAATCCCAGTACTTTGGGAGGCCCAGGCTGGCGGATCATTTGAGGCCAGGTGTTTGAGACCAACCTGGCCAACATGACAAAACTTCGTCTCTACTGAAAATATAAAAATTAACTGGGCATGGTGGTTGGCGCCTGTAATCCTAGCTACTCCAAAGGCTGAGGCAAAAGAATCGCTTGAACCTGGGAGGCGGAGGTTGTAGTGAGCCGAGATCACGCCACTGTACTCCAGCCTGGGTGACAAAGCAAGACTCTGTCTCAAAAAAAAAAAAAAAAAAAAAAGATACCAGGGACTAAGGTCGGGCTGGAAAGGATGGGTAAGGTAAGGCTGGAAACAGCAACCTGGAAATTTTGGAAAATAAATCAGTCTTGCCAGCACGGTGATCTCATGTACATGATACATAGAAGGTAATAATGGTGTAAGAGGCATTCAGAGGGGGACTTGCAGACTTTGAGGAATATGAGTAAGATTCTGGGAGGCAGGAGGAGGGTCCTAGAGTTGCCACTTTTTGAAGGACATTCAGTGTGAACAAGGCCTAAGAATGACCTTGGGAGGAAGCCTGACAGGTTCTAGCAAGAGCAGGACCACTCAGTGGGCTCACAGGGTATTGTCACAGACCCTGGGAGGTTCTGAGGTTGGATACAAAATCCCTGCAAGACTCTGGGGAGAATGATCATCTGAGTGGGCCTGATCCTATATGACATGGGAAATAAGAACAACCCCGTGGTCTTTGGGAACACATGGAAGGGCCCAAACTGATCATTAGAAAGAATGGGAAGGTCTGAGATGGACCCATGCTCCTAGCTCCAAGTTAAAGCTGACCAAGTACGTGACAGAGGATCCACCCAGAGCCCTGCCAATGTGCAGACAGAGTAATGATGTCACATGCTGGAGTTGCTGAGGCCAGAGATCTTGGGAGCCCTAACATGTTTAGGGGAATTCTGTCAGAGCTTATGTCAATACATTTGGTGTTTTTGTGAGAAACAGAGAAAGGTGTACCCCAAGTGGACACATGGCTGTTCTAGGATGCACAAATCATGGAGCAGAGAATGTGCTAGATTTCAGCTCCTACTTGCTCTCATGTCCAGAGTCCTTTTTCAGATCACAATGTGTCCAACTGCATGTAGGTGCCCTGCATGGATGGAGAACTAAAATAACCAAATTTTCTTTTGGCTAAAGGCTAATGTTTGCCTAGATAGATTAAATGATTTGGAGTGAGCAAGATACTGCTTAGTAGAAAGTCTGTACAGAATGTACTTGTAGGTAAAAGAGTTATTTTAAGGAATGTAAACTAATAATAGCTACAGAGATTATAAGAGTAGACTTGACTTCATCTTTCCAACTCCTGTAGAAATGGCTGCATGTATGTGCAACCATGGCATGTTCATTATTCCCCTGTGCATCAGTTTCTTCGTCTGTAAGTGTGAATTACAATAGTGCTTCCCTTGTGTGTTGTGGTAACAATTAAAAATGTTAACACATGGACGGGCTTGGTGGCTCACGCCTGTAATCCCAGCACTTTGGGAAGTTGAAGTGGACAGATCAAGACCATCTTGGCCAACATGGTGAAAGCCCATCTCTACTAAAAATACAAAAAAATGAGCTGAATGTGTTGGTGCGTGCCTGTAGTCCCAGCTACTGGGGAGGCTGAGGCAGGAGAATCACGTGAAGCCGGGAAGCAGAGGTTGCAGTGAGCCGAGATCATGCCACTGCACTCTAGCCTGGTAACAGAGCAAGACTCTGTCTCAAAAAAGCAAAAAAAAAAAGTTAACACATGCAAAGCTTAGAACCAGATCTGGCGTTTAGTATTTACTCAATAAATAGTAGCTAGTTTTATTATTTGCCTCATTGATATGTTAATGAGAATTTCAAGCTGGATGGACTGTAGACACCATCTGGGAAATATTTATGCAGAAAATCATTTTCAACCTGGGCCTTGGAAAATGAATAGAATTTCAAAAGGTAGAAATATATCTTCTTGGTAAAGTTAGGAAAGTTCTTTTTAGGTATTTTGAAGCCATTAGGCAAAAAATTAGTGAAAGGAAATATTTATTTGGCACAATAACTCACCAGTTACCTCTAATCCTGCTATATATTCTAATGAGGATTGAAAGGCTCTAGGCTTTCAGTTAAGAAAACCTAATGAATCAAATTGTTCCCTTAATCTCTATACAAATAAAAATATTAGCTTAAAAATGGGGGTGGGGGGAGACATTTAGGGGATCAGGAATAAAGGTATAAAGCACAGGTAACTGTCAAAAATGGTCAGCAGACCTGTTCAGCAGAAACTGAATGGAATGTGTAGGAGATGGTTGAAAAATACGCCTGAAAGCTAAATTGAGGGTACAAAATAGGGAGTATGAAATGCATTCTTCTGTCTGGGTCAGCAACGAAAACAAGAAAAATTTCACTTGCAGTCCTCTGCAATTTGGCTTTGACCTTCCCCCTCTATAAAATCTTTTTTTCTCAAAGGCCTTCAACACAGCGCTTCTAAACTTTTAAGTGAAAACCAATGACTTGGGGCCCTCCCAAAATGCAGGTTCTCATATGGTAGTGAAACTGCCATTGCAAAATTGTAACTGAGACAGTGAAAGAAATCTGACCTAACCGATTCCATCTTGCTGCTGACTTCCAAGCTGTCCTTGTGCATTCCTGGGCATAGGCCAAATTAACTTTGAGAGGAACTTCATTTGTAGTTTACAGTTTAAAGAAAGATGATAACAATCCTTTCGCAAGACAGAACCCCTTCTTGCCAGGAGACTAGACTGCCTTTGTGGGAGTAACAAATTAGCCAAAAGATTAGAAAGTATGGTTTAGGAGTCACACAGCTGAAGCTACAAGATTCTGACCCTTCCCAAGTTGCTCCTGGAGATAACATCACTATTGTAAACCCTAAAATCAGTGTTTGAGATATTTTACAGACCCTGTACTTGATGGATCAGCTGGCACCACCCAGATCTAACTGGCTCATCTGATCTTGTGCACCTCCCCCGCCCACCCAGGAACTGACTCAGCATAAGGCAGCATAGACTCCCTATGATTTTATCTCTGACCTGACTAATCAGCACTCCTGACTCTCTGGCTGCATCCCTCACCTCCCAATGCGTGGGGAGACTGATTTGAGTAATAATAAAACTCCAGTCTCCTACATAGCTGGCTCTGAGTGAATTACTCTTTCTCTATTGCAATTCTCCTGTCTTGATAAATCAGTTCTGTCTAGGCAGCAGGCAAGATGAACCCACTGGGCAGTTACAGTAGGTCTGGGGTGAGGCCTGGGATCCTAAATTTTCAACAAACTTCTAGACGCCTACCATACTCCTTCCTGCAGCTCATCCATGGACCACATTTTCAGTACCAAGGGTCTGATCCAGTAACCTCTTCTCATTGTCATCTTTAACCCCTCTGCAATGCTGGTCCTTGTTGATCTTCCTGAAGTTCTCATCACTGGTTTTTCTTACTCTCTCATCATTGGCTTCTGTGACTCTCTCACTTGAATCTTTAAATCTACATTTAAAGACCAGTCTTTATACGTATGTATCAGTTTCTTCTGATATGTAGTTTATTATCCAGGCAACTGTCAGTGCATCAATCCCTTTAGTCTTTTAAATGAAAATATTACAAATCATCTGCTTATAAAAGACAGGCCTATATAATTTTAGAAAATACCTATTGTCCATTTCATGATGTATCTAGTTTTTCTGGAAAATAATCTCCCCTGAGGTCCCAACCTCACCTGCCCCACCAATCTGCACAGGGGAATAGCTACAGTTGATTGGTACAGAAGTGGGCCCCTACTAATGCTCAGTTATTTTTAGTTTTTCCCCAGGATTTTGGATTAGAAATGAAAAAAAAAAGGTTAGTTTCTCCCTCCCTCCAAGAAAAAGAAGTCAAGAGCATATATACATAGAAGCTGTTGGGGACCACATTCTGCTACACAGACTAAAGAGCCAAAAAACAGCAGACAATTGTGAGAATGGGGAAGACATCAGGAAACACAGGGAAATAGATTCACAGTGTGGCACTCTGACAACCTCGTATATCTCCACATGGACCAGGCAGGCAAGGTTAGACCATAGCCTGGACTGAGTCTTGGCAGAATGCCCTGTGATTTCTCCAAGTGAAAGGGTAGATAAGCTGCCTGGAGTGGAGCTGCTATCTTGTGGAAGTCTGCAACAAGGCTTCTTTTCATCCTTCTCCCTAGTTTCAGTTGAGTGCAAGACTTTCCACCTTACCCTCTTTTAAGTTACAGCTGCAGACCTCAACATAAGTCTCTAAAACTGTGTGACTGTGGTTTAGACGTGGATCCTTAACAGCAGAGTGACCCACTCAACCCACCTATCCTCTGGCCCCTTCTGTTCAGTGCTGACTGGTGCTGTGGGCACGGGGAGCTGGCACCATGATGACTTTTTTTTTGCTATCTAACTACTAAGCTATCTGACTGCATTTGGGCATGCTTCCTCCTAACCAGTTAAGTAACTGGGGAAGTCTTGCAAGCCATCCTGACAGGTACAGTAGTCATACTTGTGGCCCTATTATTAGCTGCCTCCCTGCTGCCTTAGGAACACTTGACGACTTGACAAAGAGAAGAGACAGAGAGAGTTCACTTCCTGAGTTATCCTCAGCACTCCAACCCCTGATTCCAGTACGTTCCAGAAATGCATCCCAGACCTTGAATTCCACGAGATACCCTTGTATCTTTCCCATAAACCTCCCAGTTTCTTTTTCCCCTAAGAAAGCCAAGAATATATCTTTGACCTTTACAAACAAAAGGTTGTATCACACACACACACAGAGTAGTATTGTATTCAATGACAATATCAGTGATCAGAACCCCAGTGCCAAAGATTCAAATGCATTTCCTGTTTTTATTAAGATTCTGTCTCTCTTGTATATTAATTTTTGTCTGGCCTTGACCAGTACATGTAATATGGTTAGCCCACATTTATTACAGTGCAATAAAGATAAAGTTTTATGAAAATGCTTTTGGCCAAGTACAAGAAAATATAACTCTTTTTTAATATTATAAAAGTATAAATAACTCTAATCATTTATCAATAACTCCACAGTTACTGATGGAGTTAGGACTGAGGAGGACACTAGGAAGCACAGGCAATCAACTGTGCTGCTATTTTTAAATTATCTTATAAATGTCCTAATTTTATTTGTATTAGTTACAATTATAAGAATAGATGATGGAATCACACATATTTATGCCAAGTACTTATCACTCAACAAAACAGCACAAGTAGGATT